GTAAAGAGAGCTAGTGGCTTTCCTTCTGTAGCACTTCTCCTGTGCTAAGCCCTCTTTTATCCAGCTTAGCTACTGGAAGCACTCACCCTGGCCAAGGGGCTGCGTTTTCTTGCTGGTGTCTGAACACGGAGAAGGTGCTTTTTCATAGATTCATAGATTTCTAGGTTGGAAAAGACCTTAGAGATCATCGAGTCCAACCATCCCTAATCCCCATTAAACCATATCGCTAAGTAGATCATCCACCCTATTCTTAAACACATGCAGGGATGGGGACTCACCCACCTCCCTGGGCAGCCTATTCCAGTGGCTGACAACCCTTTCAGAGAAGAAATACTTCCTAACATCCAACCTGAATCTCCCCTGACTAAGCTTATACCCATTTCCTCTTGTTCTATCACCCAACACTAATGTAAAGAGCCCTTCCCCTACCTTCCCACCATCTTTTCTCAAGTATGGTGGAAAAGTTTCTCAAGTTTGGTGGCCTCAGGATGAGGTGGAAGCAGTAGTGCGTCTCTCATGCTTCTTCTTAGCTTGGATCCTCACTTTGGAGTACAAAAAGATACCTGATGAGAAGTCCTGCCTGTTAGTGATAGCGTATTTCACAGATGTAAAGCAGCACGGAGGCTGTGCCTAGGGAGGGTGAGGTCTGAATAGATCTTCCAGGGACTGAGGGCAAGGCAGAGCGACGAGCGGAGCGGTGTGTTGTGTGCTGATGGGTAGACACTGCAGTGACACCACCCTGGTGCCTGCTGCTGCACTGCCCAGGTCATACCGCTGTTCACTGTTGCTTCCTGAGTGGTCTGATGACTTGAGAGCGACTCTGATTATTGGCCCTTCTGCCACCCGTCTGTTGCTACGTGGTAGTTGTGAGTATCCTGTAGCTTCACTTTTTTCCTCCTCTTCCTTTCCAGATTGACTTGATGCCCCATGATCTCATTACGCAGCTCTTGAGAGTGTTGGCCATAGAAACGAAACAGGAGAAGGCCATTATCAGTGCAGATCCCACAGAGCTCACTCTCAGCGGTCTGGAAGCATTTTCCTTTGACTACATTGTTAAGTGGCCTCTGTCCCTTATTATAAACAGGTAAAGTATCAGTTCACTGAAGGAAAAAAAGGCAAAAGCTTTTGCAGGGGGTTGAAGCACGTTTCCACCCAGCAAAATCCTGGAAAACCTGCATCTTTAAAGTGATGTTATAAGTTGTTGGCTAGTAGGGAGTGCTTTGGGGTTTTTGAGCCCTGCTTACTCGACTCGTAGGTTATGGAACATGGGTTGTCTCTTCAGTAGAGCCCTGCTAGACCGTGTCTAAGGCATGCTTGGAAAGTCAAGCTTTCATTTTAAACGGTGAGAAGACATAGATCAAAGGATGCTTTCTCAGCCTGGTCCCTGGTATTACTTGTGACCGGTCACCCAGTTTTCGTTTGTCCATGATTTTCTGAAGTGTCTCCCCTGAGAACATGAACTCTCACAAGAGGATTTGCATGCAAGAATCGAGCATTTCTCAAATGTGGAGAGCAGGAGAAAAATGCACTTTCTGGTATCCCTGGTTGCAAGCTAGAAGGGTACAGGCTGTCGCTAGAATCACTGCAGCAAGCTACTTTGCATTTAATTGAGTTCTGAGGACCAAAGGGTTCATTTTTCTGCAGGGATTTGCCCCCAGTTTCCCTGGGGAAACACTGACAAACTGCCCCTGTGAGCCAGGGCAAGCTGGATGAGCGGCGTTACGTGAGCAGAGTGACAGATACGGACTTGTTAAACGCCAACGATTAGTTTGTCCCTTAATTTCCCCTTTAAAAAAAAATCAGTTGGCACAGTGGGACTTTTCTAATGACGTGATGCTTTTCAAATTCTCTCTCTTTTTCTCAAATTGAGTGGATTGGCTCTGGTGGTAGCCATGGAAGTGAAAATACTATTTGGTAAGGTTTCACGAACTGTAGCGACTGGAGCTCTGTAGACACCTACACTGAAGTGTCTGAATGCAGACCTGAATCTGGTCCCTGAAGCTATAAATAAGCATCCCCATCTGCTTCTGGCAGGGTGATGCTGCCTGTAGCTTGGTTACAGCTTTTCCTTCATCTTTTGGGGAGAATCCTGGGGAATTGTTTTGCAGGTCGTAGCAGTCTTACCGCAGCGGGTCCGTGACTGCGGGCTTTCAGCCCTCCGTCCCAGCCCCCGTGTCAGTGACCTTTCTGCAGGTGGCTGAAGGGAATCGAAGGAGGAGGCTGGTGATGTACTCACTGGCAGGAAATATGGAGGAGGGACTCCTTGGAGAGAAATACTTTGGGATGGTTACAAATGTGATTTTGTTTTATTTTTCTTTGGTTTGAATTGTTTCAGTGCGGATCTGTGAGTGTCTGAAGGCGTAAGGAACATATTGTGTAAAGTCTCTCTGCCTTTGAGCAGCCTCAGCCTTCACAGCTTAGTCTGTCAATCAGAACAGGGCTTAATCTGGATGGGTTTCTCCTTTCTTTCCAGGAAAGCACTGACAAGATACCAGATGCTTTTCAGACACATGTTCTATTGCAAACATGTGGAACGACAGTTGTGCAACGTTTGGATCAGCAATAAGACAGCCAAGCAATTCTCTCTCCATTCAGCTAAGTGGTATGGCCTTTTTTTCCTACTGGGTCAGATGAGAAGTTTTGGGTTTCCTTCTTGCTGGTTAGACGTGTTGTGACATGGATCAAATCATTTTGACGTGAAAAAGATCCTTACAGATTTCTCATGGGCTGAGAGAGGTCAAAATATAACAATTTAGGTTTCGGTAGGAAGCATCTGCTCAGTAATCTTTGTGTTCCTTGGCTCATTGTTGGCATGACGTTTTGGAAAGGCAGAGATGGTCTTTAGGGTTAGCTCATCATACACTGAACAGTTACAGGGGAGGACATCTGCACACGTACGTTAAGGTTAGTAAGGACCCCAGTAGTTTAAAAGCAACACCCTTCTCTTCTGGCTAGACCACTGGCAAGGACTTGTGACCTTCACACAGCTTGGCTAATGTTTGGGGTTCTGGTGTGATACCAATTGAATAAGGTAAAATTGGTGAGATGTTTTCCCAGGCAATCATTCTGTCTTGTTCCATCTGTGAAGGCAGATTTTATTCTTTGGATCTGCACTCCAGGTGCTGGAGGTGCCTGTTTGGAGAGTGAGGCAGACCCCAGCGTGGCGAGGTGGTACCTGCTGCCTTGCCAGTGGCACTTGCTGGTGACAAGGTAGCCTCAGCTGCCTTGGCACTGACCTCAACCAACATGACTGCAGCTCTGGTTCTCCTGTAATTGTAGAGGTGTTGGCAGAAGAGACCTGTGAGGGTCTCCAGTCCAACCTCCTGCTCACAGGGTGACTGTGAGCAGCAGGGGACGGGGCCACTGTGGCTGAAGAACCCTATGGTGGGTATCCCTCACCTCTCCAGTCACCTGTCCCAGTTTGCTGGAGTCAGCTCTTAGTTTCCCATCACAGAGCCTGCATAAATTAACATTGAAAGAACCTCTGTATAATCCCACTGTTCTATTTTTAAGGTGAAATTGCATTAAATCCCTCAGGTTGCAGACGATTTGATTAAATGTTTGGATCCCCTGAACACAACAATGCAAGGCACAGAATATTTTTAAGTCTTCATTTAAATAAGGCTGAAATGAACCATTTATCTTGTTAAATTTTGCCCTGCTAATAAAATTGCTTGAATATTTAGTATTAAAATTTTAGTTGAATATAAGCAATTATTCAAAGTAATTGTCCAGTCTACAACAGGTTCAAAACTCTGACTCTAGTAATTGAGGGAAAGCTATTTGACTGCGCGGAAAATAATCAGAGATGGTTTGCATTAACTTCATAATCCCTCTCAGGCTGCAGCAGTGAGTTTGCTAGGACAGAAATATTTAGCTCTGCCTTGCCTGTGCCAGCCTGGTGATAGTTCTCCGTGGCATTTGCTAGCTCCAGGCTGTGTGGGTGTGATTTCTCCCCTAGGTTTGCTGGTGCTTTCACACTGCGGCAGCGGATGCTGAATTTTGTGCAGAATATCCAGTATTACATGATGTTTGAAGTGATGGAGCCAACATGGCATATTCTTGAGAAGAACCTGAAGTTGGTGAGTGTATGTGCTCGAGAGAGGTTGGAGTGGAAGTCTTTTAACACATTTAACATAGGGAAGAAATGGTTGGTTTCTGTTGCTGCAGGTGACTGTTTAAGTGTTTTGCTGGAGTTTAAGTATCTGGGAACTGTTCTTGCCACATGGCAAAGAGTGCTGCTGTTCTACATCACCTTTCTGCTTTATAGATGCCTTTTGTCTGCTGCATCCTCCTGTCTATGCCCAGCTGATACTCTGAACCCTGCCAGGTGAAGGTGGTGGTCTGCTGAACGGCGCCTTACACAGGAGAAAGAAAACTATGGGAAAGGAAGAAGGATACAGGGCACAAAGATCATCAACTGGTCCAGACATCCTCAGTTGGTTCCTTGGCTGACTTACAGTGCTCTTGAAAGCCAAATCTGTGGTTTCTCTTCCATGAGGCTAGTAAGGACTGGCATGTTAGGACTGTCTGTTATAAACCAGGGCCTTCCTTATTCAGGTGGCTATTCCACGTGTGTATTCCCACTGCAGGTGGGCAAGGCTGGAGAACTTTTCCACTCCCGTGGTATCTGGGAGAGGCTAAGCTCGCTTCCCACCGGTCTTTATGCCCGCTGAGGGGATATCTGGGCAAAGCATGCCTGGCATCATTTTGATTCCCTTCACGGAGATGCAATGTTCTGAGCTATGGGATTTTCCAGATGTGTTACCGATTATTTGTGGTTCACTAATCCAAGTCAGTGACTTCTGGAGAAGTTAACTCTTTGCGCTAGCAAAAACTGCAAGAATCAGTTTTTATCTCCTGATGGGCACATGAGATGCCTTTTTTATCTCACAGAGGAACACATTCTCAGCTAATGTCCCACCTGCCTGTTCTAAACCAAGAATGAGAGGTCATCAAGAGCTTACCTTTCAGAACAGGCTGTTCAAGAAGAACTTGAGAAGACCCTTAGGAAGTGCCATCCCTGAGCTTTTATGGCAGTCCTCTTGGCACACGGCACTCGGCACAGGCAAGGGCTGTGCCAGGCAGTGAACTTGTGTTTAATTAGAGCAGATGAGCAGTGATCCATTCCTCAAGCTTGCTTATTTTGCAGCATAACCTTTGTGATGGCTGTAGTCATTCTCCTTATCTCCAGGGACGCCGCGTTCCTCACGGTCCTTCTCAGCTTCCTTAGCCACTGTGGTGCTGCTGTGTTGGGGCTGGTGTTAGGGTGCCCCAGCTGCTGTGAGGGAACAGGAGGCAGATGTACATCACCTTATTCTTCTTCCCTCTGGTAGTCATCCTGTGATCAGACGCTTCTGGGTTGCACGTGTTTTTCCTCTTACACCATGAAAAACGTTTATCTGATGTACCAAACAGCCCAACACTCCTCCTGCAATCTGCGTGAAGCCACAGCAGCTCTCTTGGCAGCTCTCTGGTGAGCCTTGTGTGTCTTTAACATCAACTGACCCTGTCTTAGTTTCTGTTGTGTATCAGGAAGTTGTTCTGGGGTCAACTGACCATTTTTTGATGCCCTGTCATCCTTTTTGCTGGAAAATTCACAGGAGGTATCAGGTCTGGGATTGTGAGCATCTCTGGATGTTCTTGGCGAGGACTTCTGAACAAGAAGAGGTTATATGTCAAGCTCCTGGATGATCTGAGAGAAGTGTACTTAATTTTGTCCTACGTTTAGGTTTTCAAAATGTAATAGTCATTTTACTTTTCTTGAATTGGGGCACTTGAACAAGTTGTCCTGTCCCAGGTTCTTCCCTACTGATTTCAGGTAGTGCTTCCTTTCAGTCTCTGCTGATTCCAGATGTCCTAGAAGGGGCTGTTAAACACAACAGGCGTGTGGTCTGTACTGACAGCATCCCCTTGTTCAGAAGAGATGATCTCCTGACTCCAGAGTTTTTGCAGAGACTTTCTGTCTGAAGATCCCTCTCTGATTTGGCTCTTGGCCATTGCGTTTCTCTGCTCCTTCAGGGATATAGCAGCCTTGAATCATTTTTATTTCAGTTCCAAAAAGGAATTTGCCAATCGATAGTGTTTCGTAGAGGAGCCCATTCCCAAGAAACGTCTGTAGACCAAACATTTTTGTTAGCACAAATGGGCAGAGTTTTTCCCTGGCTAAGGAACATCTCTGAGCCTCTTCAGCCTGCCAGAGGTGTTGAGATAACAGGTATAAAGTGACTGTGCTGGCACTGGGGAAAGGTGTTTCCATGGCTGTTGGGCAAGAAGGAGATCTGTCTGTGCCTTCACCATACACTTCTTCGTTTTGGAAGCCTTGAGGGCTGCTGCAGGGTTTTGGGGAGCGTTTCTGCCATTGCTCTGTACGTGAAGGGCTTCTCCTCGCAACGCTGCAGTAGTAACAGCTCAAGGCTGCCCACGACGTGGGCACGTACGCAAGTCGTCACTTGGAACTGAGAACATTTTTGGGCAAGTTAGCCAAGTCTTTGAGATGTAATCCCAATGTAGCTTTGCCTCCCATCCTCATCAATGTCCTTGAAGGCTTTTAAATCTCTGGGAGACGGAGCATGCCCTGTAGCAGTGCTGGAGCAGGAAGTCTGGCTCTAGGCAGTGGTGTGAGTCCAACACCTCAACACTGCCACCTAAAGAAGCCGCTTCAGCAACCACTTTGTTACGCAGTCCTTTAAAATTGCTGCTCACCAGGGTGACATATCCCCAGCTACTGGGTAAAACCTTCCTTGATTTGAATAAAAGCATCATTTATTTCCAAAGAGAGGATGCAGGACTGGCTCTTTCACCTCCGTAGCAAACAGACTGGGGTAGGATTTTCCTTTCCTTTGCATTTTAGGAGGGAAAAGGATGATCCTCACGGGTCGCATGTAGTGTCTTACGCTGTTTTTTGATTTGTTGGACTTCTCTTGTGCATTTCCACTTGAAGTTAAGGTGCTTTCTTCCTAAAAATGTAACTAATGTCTTCATCTTCACAACATCATTGTCTTCATCAAGACAACTCGCATCTTCATGGCGTTAGAGAGCAGCATTTATCCCTGTTCTGTACTGGTTTTTTAAAAGGTTATGAGGGATTTTTTTGGCATTGATCCTGGTGGAGCAATGTGGGTACCTTGGCAGTTTTAGTCCTGTGACTCTTTCCTGAGCTTGGCTTGTGTTCTCAGCTTCAGCACATCCCATAGTTGTACAGAGTGAGCGGGGGGCTTTAATCTGTCATTTAAAACTCGAGACATAAACAGCCCATTGAAGTGGCAGAGCTGGACAAAAATCTTACAGAATCCTTGCAACACTGTGTGTCCCAGTTCCTCACTGTGCTCCTAAAATGTTGTTTCTGAATAACCTGTGTGTTTTAAGCCTTGTAAACTTCATTTCAGTGACATTTCAGGTTCTTTGATTTATTTTTCTCTTTTCCACTTACTGTGGCTGACTTTACTGAGATTGTGAAGGTGGGAGTGGGCATGACAGGCAGATTTAAAAGCAGAGGAAGTGCATGTTCATAAAGCAGCTAACTCCATCCTGAGCCTCTTTTCCAGTGGAGGGTTTAGATGACAAGAAAGCATAATTTGGTTGAGAAAGGTGATGTGACAAATCAAAGGTAAAAAGCCTGTGAAGGGCTATGTTGAATGCAGTTATGCAAACAGTCTCCATCTTGGGATGTTTCTCGAAGCTGAAAGGTGCATGAGAAGTATCTCAACATGCATGAGAAGTATCTCAACATCTCGGGGCTGGAACTAGATGATCTTTAAGGTCCCTTTCAACGCACACCATTCTATGGCCTAGAGCATATCTGAGAAGTCACTGTCAGAAGCAGGATGCTGGGTTAGAGCTTTAGTCCAGTGCAGCACAGCAGTCCTGGTTTGTTTTTTTCATTATTCTACTATCCTGTAACAGGCATCTAATATTGACGATGTCCTGAGCCACCACACAAGCTTCCTGGATAACTGCTTGAAGGACTGCATGCTAACCAACCCAGAGCTGCTGAAGATCTTCTCCAAGCTGATGTCTGTCTGCGTCATGTTCACAAACTGCATGCAGGTATGTACAGCCTCCACGTGTTGACCATGCCACTGCCAGCTGCCCTGGGTGCCAGCCAGCTATGATGGTCCCTTTTTTCAGCTCAACTCCTCTTGTCCGCGATGCACATGGAAGAGCCTCGGTTCCTCCTGCCAGCAGGTTTAGAGCTTGACCCCTCAGACCCTCAACCTTTCTCCCAAATGGTTTCTGTGGCTTCTCCCTCCACCAAATTCACCGTGCTCTTCTTTTTCAGTGTCGAGATCAGGTTCATATGAACTGATCCTCAAATCACCTCTCTCCAGCCAGTCCTGCAGCAGAATTTGAGGTGTAAGTTGTAGGGCTCTATAGTTTTTAGCGTGCTCTTTGGAGGGTCAGGTGAGGACTGGTAGTTGGACCCATGGAGACTGATCTCCTTGGGTACACTCTAGCCAGCATCTCAGGGAGCCCATAGCTTTAAAAAAAACCCACCTTCCTTTGGATTTAGTGAGCTTTGTGTATTAATATTGTAGAGTTAATCTCTGAGTTAGATTTTATGGGAGGTAGCTAGCTGCCGGGCTAGCAGAACTAAGTCAGCCTCATGCATTACCATAAAGGAAAAAATGGAATCTAACCATTTCCCCAACCCTGTGCCCTTCCAAGAGGTTCACCCAGAGCATGAAGCTGGATAATGAGATGGACCGGCTCACCTTAGAGCATGGCACAATGCTGGGCCCACCAACAGAGGAGGAACGTGCTGAAGAGACTGCGAAGAAGAAGCTGACTAATAAGGTGAGACATGGGATGGGTAGCTGGGCCCTTTCCTCTGGGAATGCTGCCTGGGGTTGCAGTCTGGTCAGGGTAGCTGTCCTACCTCTTGCAAATAGACCTTCCTAGTTTCCAGAGCGCCCCTGGCCCCAAAAGCAGAATCTTTTGCAGAACTGTGGGAATTTTTGAGGGCAGTGTGGAGTGCTGATGGTGTTCTCAAAGTTTGCTGTGAAGACTCTGTCTCCCACAGCGGTCCCTGCACTTGTGTTTAAGTTCTTGGCTGTATTTCCAGCTGCAGGGTGGGTACCCACATACAGGCTTTCTGCAACTCGGGAGCTTTCTTGTTTCCAGAACTGGCATTTTGTGATGGGTGAGCCAATAAGCTGTCGGGTGTGGCCCTTTACAGCCCATCC